GAGAGCAGTGACGGCCTGTCGAGGACTTGCAGCTGTGTGAATGGATACAAACAGACTAATGACTCCAGGAAATGTGTTCCCAACAGTAAGAGCAGTTCTAGTCTGACTTCACTTGCTGGCTGTAAACAAAATGTTTATTAGCAAGCAAAAATTAAATTCTCTCATCACTTTATATAGACTTGTTATTCAATATATCTTTATGGATTATGATTTTCTGGATAATCCTTTCGATAATGAAGAGCTGACGAGTTGGACAGCACATGCCCTGACATGATTCGCACCTACTGGCTAAAGAAGCTAACTGCACTCCTTGAGTACCTGGAAGCATAAATGAACCACCACATGATTCTTAAGGATTAATCCCATCCAACTACCGACCAATAATATGTCTCATCACCACATGGATGCTCCTGCCAGGCATCATAGGAGCTAGCATGAACAGGCACATGGCAAGACACAGACCTACTAGTAGACAGAGCAGTTGCTCGAGACTATAAGATCAGATGGACCAACCTGTTGCCTGTTTTGGCTACATGACAGCCATGTACTCAATGTCTCACACATGGATGCTAGAACAGGAGCCTTCATAAACTTAATGGGGATGTGGTGACACCATCAGACACTTCAAGCCAGTTGCACAAGTCAAGTCATCAAGTGAAACTCACTGATGCTGTTTTACTTGTTAGATCAGTTACTAACCACAGTTAGTAACTGATCTCAGAACAGTGAACGCAGACTAGTGGCAGTTTGCTTCACGCACTGCTCATCCACAACAGGCATGCACAAACCACAGACACAAGCTGCTGGCCTCTCAGCTTGAATGAGATGAAAAGAGAGATTATTTTATGTTTCTCTTAATATTTTTCCATTGTAGCTTTAATACAGTGTTTTTACAGGTCGATCATCCTGTGGACAGCTGTTAGCCACCACATCATACAGCCCACCACCGAAAGGCCTCCGTCCCTGGATGGTGGGGGGGCAGGTGGGCAAGAAAGGGGAGAGTCCATGGCAGGTACTACAAAAAAAAAAA